ATTTACTATATAATTTTTATATTAATTTTAATCAAATTTTATATAGTAAAATTTAAGAAATAATAATTCAAAAAAGTATATATTAGTAAAATTTTTTTATAAAAGATATATAATAAAAATTTTTATATTTAAATAAATCCCAATACCTAATAAATTAATTAAATAAGACAGAATTAAAATTTTATTTTGAAAAAACAATCAATTAATTTTTATCTGATGTACTAATCTTTTTGCACTGGACCATATATACATATATTAAAATCCTTGAGCATAGTTTATTAAAAAAAGATTTGAAAATATTATAATATGATTATAATAAAGGTAATGAGAATGATAAGAATTTTTCATTTTTTACTACTTGAGAGCTTTTCATGAAGAATTTAAAGCAACAATTACTAAGTCACAATCTTCTCAAAATGAAAAGTTCGCTCGTTAGTCCAATATAATAAATACGATCAAGAGATTCCTCATTCAATATGATTATAACCTTTGGCACATACAGCGACTGTGGATTCATTTATTCCTTGAATATTGATGATCTCGCGACGTTTCTTACTATCAGTTCCAAATATGACATCACTTTTATAAAAATAACTACGAGAGAAACAAATTAATGTATCACAGCGCCGAGTTAAATGAATTAGTATCATTGATTGATAAATCGACATTACTGAAAACTACCGCTTGAACGTTCCTAATTAGAGAATTTTTCTCGTAATTTCAACTTTTTTAGTTTAAGAGAAGAACGAGTGCTACTTGAGTTTTTGCAAATTCGTTGGTTAAATGATAGCTGAATTTTTATGTAGAATTAATAAAGGAGCTTTTTAAAATTGATGGTAACGAAATTTTCAGACAAATCCTCAGAATATTACATAAAATATTCTTAATATACTCAATAATAATTCTTTGAGAATTAATTCATCTGCAGTAACAAAGAAATTTAAACAGCGTCAACCTCTATGAACTGAGAATCGATTTTTGTCACCATGCGTAAAGAACCATGTAATTTATTAAAGATCAAGCTTACTTTAAAATATTCGCACTTTTCGATATATAAATTCTTAAAGACGGTAGTTTGTCATTAATATTGACGAATGTACTATAAAATTTCGTTCAATATTTTTTGTTACATCAAAATATTATTGAAAAATTGTAAGTTTTTATTTCATTTGAATTTTATTCTATATAATAAGCCAACTAACGAATTAAAATTTTTATAAAACATTGAAGTAAAAAACAGCTACCAATTTCTTTTGATCAATCCGAATATTTTTTTAAACTTATTAATTCGTCTTTTTATATTTGCTTTGGTGTTTCGTCATCAACTGTCAATTTTCTTGCAATTTCCTAGTATCTTCAATCTATGTCGAAATCTGTTTTTTAATTATCAAAGAAATTAAATGAAATAAAGAAATTGATAAAATAATAATATCAAATATAAATTTACCCTCGTTCGGAACATGCAATCCGGAGCCTAAATATTTGATATTAATATTAATGTATATAATTGTTATGCATTTATTTAATAATTTTACCTTCGTTTGCTTCGTTAGATATAAACTGATGTTTGCAGATTTGATATTAATGTCTATATCAAATTCCGTGCTTACATATTCTGTATGTATATGCAAACAAGTATTTATATTAAATAATATTTTAATAAGAACAAAATATTGTTGAAAAATACCAACCTTCCTGATCCACCTTCGGCAAAACTTTGCTCGTGTAAATTGCCAAGGGATGCGTTGTGTAACTTTCTTTAAAATTATATTTGGAGGCGTTTGCTCTTCTAAACTCCTCGGCGGCGTCTATTTGTTGTCTTCCGTTTCTGTAAATTCCCTTCGATACCATTTTTCAACGATGTCGCATATCTCTTTAGAAGTTGGTCTTTGTGAGGGATTATGATGCCAACAACGTACAATCAAGTCGTGGTAAAA